AAACATAAGCGCCATTGCTTAAACAATCTTTCTTTGGTCCAAAGTTGTAAGTTACGATGACCTAGTAAGTCATCGTAACTTACAATGAATTACCATGGGAATTGCGACGAGTTCACTCGTCGCAATTTTCTTGAAATCGATTTTAGGAATCATCTTAAGTTGCGATGGATAACCCATCGCAACTTAAGATACGATCGATCGTAGCCTTTGGTGAAATCGGCCCCTGAACAGGAACAACTGGAGGCGTCTTTTTAGACAGCAACCCAAGTCCATTAATGGGAATTCATCGCACAGGTTTAATGCATAGTTTTGGCATGACACGCTTAGAATAGGAGCAGCTTTTTTAAAATTGAGACTATATAATGGTCTTCACGTGTGCACTGGGCAGCATGCATGATCTAAGCTGGGAAATTTCCCTTCAAGCTGTCTCTTTTTTGCCAGTGGGGAACCTGCACTTCAATTCAGGGTGGATATTCAGAGTGATGCTAGACCGACGCTTCTTTGGGAGAGGGGGTGGTAGGGAGGTTAACGTAATTTTGTAGGACACAGGCATCGCTAAGGTGGGATGTCACATCCCCATTAATCAGTTTTGTTGGCAAAGTCATGGTGCTGTCGGCAAGAATCCGACTCCCATTATACTCAGTTAGCAAGGCAGTGCGTCAGAGAATTTCATGATGGTACGTCTCCCCCAACAAATAATGATTTGGCGATGTCCCTGTTCAAGTGCCCGTGCTTAAAAACAATACAAACGAAAACATGTATTGTGTATGTTACATGTATAATGAGGGGATTACATTTTTGCAGGGAAATAAAGAAATTTTCCATAAAATATAGTCTACTTAAACAAAGGCACTTCTACTGTGGACAGTTCCCATTGCCCTGTTGAATTTAAAAGATTTACAGCCAAACTCTTGTGTCGCAGGTTTCCTTGGTCAAGAAATTTTAAGTTGTCAAAACAATACGAGGAGGGTTTGATGGGCTTCTTTCAGTTAAAACAAAAAGACAAGATAAAAGGAGCCATGGAGGTGCACTCATTTGATTGATTACTTGCACTAAGTAATTTATTTCTCACCATCATAAGAAACTCAAAATCATCTGAAATTTTCCTTGAAAAAATGATAACTGTGCAAAGCCAAAGACCTACAGGTAACGATTCTGCCTGCGGTAAATCCCAACATGGTTTTTTTTTCTCCAGGATTTAACATACTGCAGCTATTGAATCTCACCTTGAACCCCATGTACGTGACCTGTCCCGAGGCGATGTACTTTCCATCCTTGGAGATGGCCACACAGGAGACATCGTCCGTGTGGCCCTGCAGGAAGTTCTGGGTGTGCTTGGTGATGTGCTCTATGATGACGGTGTTGCCCAGGGGATAGATGATGTGCTCCTTATCTGGGTGGACCTTGAGGCCGGCATATACATTGCCTACCAAGGAGAAGGAGGAGAAATCATCAGGGAGTTCACAAACTTTCTGTCATGCAACCAGTAATCCTGGGTTGTTTGATGCCTCTATTTGTTCAACTGAATACCAACTGTAGGGGTAGAATGTACAGATAACTTATCCTGGAACCGACACGAGGATACCACCCATAAGAAGTGCATAAGATGTTTGGTTTCTTATGGCAGTCAAGGACTGCTGCTATACTACCTTTGCGTGGTCCATGGCAGAGTATGCCAGCTGTGTATGGGATCCATCCACTTCGAACATCATCAAAATTGAATCTGTCCAGCGCAGTGCTGCCTGGTACGTCATGAATGACTACTACCCCCGGTATGGAGACAGCAGTGCCAACACCATGCTCAGTAACCTGGATTGGGAGTCTCTTCAATGCAGAGGCACATCCAAAGTCACAGCAATATACCGGATCATAAACAAACTCACTGACATCCCTGACAACCAGCTCACCCGGGTCAGTTCATGTACCAGAGGAAACAGCCGCAAGTTCTTCATCCCACCCACTGGTACAACCTTACTGAAGGGTTCCTTCTTCTCAGACACCATCTGCCTGTGGAACACACTGCCTCAGCAAGTTGTTGAGTCACCAACCCTGGATATTGTCAAGTCCAGGGTGAATGGTGCCACTCTTAGATACATGTAGCCACTCCATCCTAACTTCTACAAGTTCTGCTCATGTATTTTTTTTTCTTCCATACATCTTTATGTTGAGTATCTGATGTGATTTTGGCAACTTTTGAGGTGGCAACTGTAGGGTTCTTTTAGTGACTCCCACTCAAGTCCAAAATTAAAAATAATAAGGGATTTCTAAAGCCCCAGCTAGTGGGTGTGGTGTAATGGATGGAATGCCAGGGTGGCATGTTTTCGATGAATTCGGTCAGGTGCGAGCCACATAAATTTGGAGGTTGAGGATTTTTTTAGGCATAACCTGCCACCAATTCATGGCTAAAGTAGGCTGCTTTCCTTAAAAAAATGATAGGCCTGATGTCAGGCAAAAGAATTACAGAAAGACGGCAAAGATAGAGAAAGAATTGGAAATACCAACGATGACTGTCAAGTCATGTTAGACCTGGGCCTGTGACAAGGAAACCCTCTGTGTGTCCTTTTATTTCCAATGGAGTGAAAATCTAGACCTACAGTACATGTACATGTCCTCTAGACAACAGATCTGGATGCCGTCCATGGTTCAGTCATTTTTCAAAGCAAGCCTGCAGCCCAATTGAATACTCGTAACATAATGGCAGCATATCTTACAGGATCTCAAGTTTGTCAGGCAACCGCAACTTCCATTCTGCAAGATTATTTCTTTCAGGTAAGAAAAGGTGGATGGAGCCCAGGCCTAATGCATTTCAAAAAAATTGGTCTCGAGTAGGAGAATAACAAGTATGAGACCAAGATCCAGACCAAGACCACAGGTCCAAGACCAAGAGCAGCTATAACATCCAAAAATAATTTTTTTTAAATGTATAAATTGCTCCTCATATTGAAGCTTGAAACCAGAAAAAAATTCAGTGGTACAAACCGTTTGGTGATATGATGCTTCTGTAGGAAGTTACAACCCTTTAAAGTTTTAAAGTCCCCAGAGCTTTCTGGTCCAAAAATGACAAAAATTACTCAGTAACCTTGTTTCTCCACCAATTTGAACGATTTAAAAACTTGATTGGTACTAGGCCCCTATTATAATCTCGTCTTGTCAACAGAAGTATTTTTAGACTTTTCTTTCCAAACGAAGACTGGCTTAAGTTACAAAATTGATAACTCAGTCCTACACAAACTTGATCTTAAACTGGCCGCTCGCACACAACAGTTGTCTAATTTTGGTGCTTCAATTTTTTCCTGCTTTTGCTAGAAGTGAGGTACTGGAGTACCTCACTGGAGTGAGAGGTCAGGGTCAATTTCACGGATCATTAGCATGATTTTTTCCCTTGATAAACATACCAACCAAACTGTTCATGTGTTGTATATTGGTTGTGACTGGTGTTCAGCTGATGTTCCCTTATCATAAGAATGACATGGATTTTTGGCAGGTTACTTCCTGAGCAAGATAATACTGTGCTGAGCAAACTTTTGTGCTTAGCAGCTTCGTGAAATTGGCCCTGACCACTCACAAACACAACGTTCGAACTCACACACACAGCGTTTGCAATTTACATACACGACATTTACAATTCACAAACACAACATTCGAACTCACAAAGATGACATTCGAACTCACACACACGACGTTTGCCTGTCGTGTCGCTTTAGAACACCATAATATAGTTAAACTGACAAGATGCTTACAAATGATTATAAAGATGAACAAAGAAATTGACTGGAGCAGGATTTGAACCTGTGGCCTTCGGAATACCATTTTGGATAGGCCTCCCAGTGCAGTAAATGACATTGAATGAAAGAAAAAAGATTTATGTACTTTATGTTAGGAGTGATTTCAAGATAGAACAGTTTGTTTGGAAAAGAGCAACATTCAACTGAAAAATTACAGTTTTATGTGAGCGCAAAATAGGAAATATCTTAACTGGGGTCCAGGTAGGCTACCAAGAGCAGTGTGTTTAAGATTATGTTCAAACTGATCTCGAGACTGGTTCTGAGACCAAGACCAGTCTCAACAACAATACTGGCTGACAACAGGTAACATTATTACAGTGACAACACAGTGTCCTTTCTGATGTTTCTTTACTATGGGCTGATGTTCAGAACTCTCACTCTGTTAAAACTCGGGCCTAACTTAGGCCTAACGTTGGGACTAAATTTCCAGAAACCTTACGACCCTCACGCTGACATGTCTGACGTCCGTAACTATTACTAGGCCCTACCACAAGTCACCAGGCACGCAGGCCTACTGCTTACCATTAAATCCCGTTGTGGATAATAACTCCAGCTCTTTATAGTCGTCGGTGCCTGTCGTCATCGTTATGGTTTTCCCTTGAAGTCCAAACAAACAAGTACAGGCTGTAAAGTATACTACAAATGATTCGATAACTCACGTAAACTCAGCACTAATAAGTTCGATGCATTAAAGTCATGAAACTTCGCTTTGCACACACGAGCTTTCCAGTTGCTATGGAATACCTATTGCATCATGGGAATTTGTAACTTTCCTGGTCAATTGGTGGCGCTATCCCTCGTTAACGGCTTTCCGTCTCCGTACGCACGGCCCCAGTACTTTAAACTCGGTAGAAATTCCTCCTGAATTCGCCACTTTATGGAGATTTACAAGGAGGCCTTTAGAAGAGTGGAAACTAATTTGATTTCAGGGGTTACTGCAATGTAGCTGTTGTAGTTATGAGTGAAAACTGCTGACGAATGTGAATAAATGACGCCCTGATGAATGTTGTTCTATATTTTAATAGTTTTTGGAGAAAAGAGTGTTCAATCGCTGATGATGAAAAATGGGTTCTTTCAAACTGTTTGCTGTTGCCCCTCCGTGACCTCATAGTTTAGGTATCAAGATGTAACTAGTATCTACTATGATGATTTGGCGGCTAATTTAAAAAGGCTGTGATCTGGTGGGTGTTAACTGGTGGGTGTCCCAATTCGACCCCAAAAGAGCATGGGGCGGAATCCACCCACCCCGACGTTTTTTTCCGGTATCTCCACAGAGCATTTTATTTCAGAACTTAAACCTTTAGTAATTTATAGAGTAACTATTTGCAGTCATTTTGACACCATTTTTGCAAAAATCGAACTTACTGTTCTTAAGCAGCGTGCATTTTTCCGAGACGGGTCAGCCAAAAATGTATACTTTTAATTTTCAACTGCGGTGCTATGATACACGCGTATACTGGCACGAATGTAGTCATGAACTTCAAATGACCGTAACAACATAATGTTATGTCTGATTGAGTTCAAGCTTCATTTTTGTAATGATAAGGAGTGTTGGTATATGCATGCGAAGTCTTAACAAATCGGATGTGCACAGCCGAGTTCTTGGAGGCGGAATCCGCCCCCGGCTGTGAGATTGGGTAAAAATAACCTGGCTCTTTGAGGGGGTTAAAGTTGCCAGCACATTTTGTCACAATACTGTTTATTGAGTAGTTTCACCAGTATTCCTGTCGAAGTTGATGATGAAATACGCGACAGATGTAGGCATAGCATAGTGGAAAACACACACCTTTCATTCGAATAATTCATTTCTATCCAAGACATCTGTTGACCCCATTTCGAAAGCACATTTTGCCAACGCGGCCTTGTTGCCTTAAGCACCTCCATGCCTTAAGTTGCTCCCGTGGACGGATTTACCCCATGCAATTGGTTTTCTTTTTCAAAATTCAAGCATCAAAATGGGGGTCGCTCCCCCCGCGAATGTCCATGCCCCATGGGTGCCCCCTTCCCCATTTGAAGTCTGTGAATAATCTCCGTTGAAATGCAGCTGCAGCTTATTTTCTTGTGGTGCCCCTGTGAAAATGAATGTGTGCACCCCCGAGTGCTCCTGGAAATGTAGCCCTATAGTTACGCCACTGAATCACACCATAATGAATACAATGTACATATCTTGCTTAAAGGTAACGATACTGAAAACACGCAGTTTTGTTTTATCATGCATGCACGTTGATTTTGTAGGCCTACCAGCTGAAAAAAATCACACTGGAAACCATCTAGTGTGTAATCGTGTTTGCTTTCCAAATATGATCAGAGTTGCTGACTTAATAATAAATAAAAAGCTCTGCAAATGGACGAACCAGCCAATTAGACCTAACAGACAAGGTTGACTATACGGGGGAAACACATCGGAAGAAGTACGCATGCTATTTGGCTGATCCAACTGGAGCGTATAACCCAAGGTCTCTTAATCGTGATTGGATGACGGATCCCATCCTTCAGGGGGCTGTTTTGTAAAATTCATCACGATGAATATTTAAACATCTTTCTCCACAAAGTCCCCGGGGAAATGATTTTTCGGATGGAGGTAAATTGGAGCTTTTTAGTGCGTATATAATCTCCAATGCACTGCAAAACCATTAGTCTGCATGACAGCGGCAGAGACATAGTGGCGTAACACAGAAGTCCTTTATAATAGTCAAAGAAGCCTTCCAGTGCTTTCAGAAAACTTTCAATGAGGCAAAGGTAGACCATCTACGAAGAGGGACACGATATTTTTGGGACTGAATTTCGCAAGCCATTTCTTCCGGACATGTCAGCTCATCTTGATGTGTCTATGGTCGTTCTGGCCGCCTCTACGGCCGTACTTGGAACCTTGGGGATAGTGACAAACGCAGCTTCAATCATCTTCTATGTCCGCAGACCGATAATGCGCACATCGACCAATCTTTTGATGACCCACAAGGCAGCAGTCGATTTCATGTCCCTTCTGCCATTCCCACTTCGTCTACTGCAGATTCTGAGCGGAGAGGACGGCTATCCCTTCAACGGATGGCTGTGCAAGTCTGTCGTGACCGTAGAAACGCTCTGCATGATCATCAATGCCAACATAATCTTCGTCTTGGCATACGACAGACTGACGGCCGTCATCAGGCCGGGAGACGACCTGGACCGCTCCGTCACCAGGGCCCGTCATCACATCGCTGCTACCTGGGTTTACTGCCTCTTGCTGGCTCTTCCCGTTACAGCAGCGGGTTGGACTGTATTATGGCCGGCAGGAGACTCGCCACTCCGCCGGCCAACGTGTGGTTACCAGTGGCCGGCAGGCGAGAAGTACCACTCCATGTACTTCGGCAGCATCTTGGTTATCATCTTCGCCGGTCACCATATCGTCTACGCTTGCTTCGGCTACTTCACCTGGAAGCGAGTGCGGCAAAGGAAGGAGAACTTTTTGGCGCGGTACGACACCGTGCAACGGTGCCGGGCAGTGGCGGCCGTAATCTGCCTCAACTTCGTCGCGTATTTTATCTTCTGGGCTCAGCACGTCTACGTCATGATCCACCTAGGGGACGATCAGACCCACGTGCCCCACATCCCCTCTGACCTGACAGACCCCCTGTCAGTGGCCGCATCCGTTGCCGTCTACGTGGCAGCCAGCTCCAATCTCCTCATCTACGGCTCCAACATGGATCAGTGGAGGGGCGTGGCGCGGGACGCCCTGTGCTGTCGGTGCGGGCCGGGGGGAGGGGTAGTGAGGCCTCTGAACGAGGAGAACGCCGTGGCAGTCATCGATGTCACGGCTGCAACCGACGAGCCGCGGGGCAACGGGCACAACTGCGTCAACAACAACGACAATGGAAGCATGATGAACCTGGGAACTCTTCAGCATTCAGATGAAGAGCTTGAGATTCAGGATATTGCATTATGAATAGAGAAGTTCGATTTAAAAAAACAAATACACACTTCACAGGAGACCGTCGAAAAAAATTATTAAAAGATTTGATCAGTACTTAGCTTACGAATACAATTGAAAATCCATTGTGTCGTTGGTTTGATAGACTTTTGTCGTGCTTTTTATTACGTTAGGTCCATCTTTCACCACACCATAGCAAACTGTATTCTCACGTTGCTCTCGAATGTGCCGTCCTAGAAAAAAATGCCTAGTCGATACATACATGTGTGTCGTCGCTCGTCGGCCCCATTTCAAAGATCATGACTGAAATTCTTCGAGAACAAACTGATGAGAACTAATCAAAGGTGGATTCAAGAGGGTCAACGGAGGCCATGATCCCTCAAAAAGGCGTAATTTGTTCTGGAAAATTAATGAGAAAAGGACGATTTTGTGGGGACTATTTCACTTCTCTTCCAACAGAGCGTAAATGCCCTACATTTAGCCTGGATCCTTAATCTTACCCCCCCCTCGAAACTTCGGTTCGGAATCCGCCCTTGCAATTTACCAATTTTTCTTTAGGACAATTATAATGCAAAGGAAATCTGAAATGGCAACGGCTCTTTCAAGATTTCGCAAACCGCGCATGAGTCACACAACTTCTAGACTTTAAATTTCCTGGTAAGTGAAATAAGCTTGGCTCAGTTAAAAAAAAATGAAAAAAAAAAGCAATAAAATGTATTTTTAGAAAATAAGGTTTCTCGACATTACATCTATTGGCGTATGTTTGTTTGTTCCATGGCTTGGTATTCAGAGAGCTAATGTAACAAGTAAAATCGGATTCGACCCACGGAAAACCAGTGGAGAAATAAAAACCTCCGTAGCAAATCTGTCAAAGTAATTTTCCGTAGTTAGAGGGAATTAGGTACCAGCTCTTCAGTGAAGATAAAAATAACTGAAAGAGAAATCGTCTAGAAAAAATGCCCCCACCGGAGTGGCGCTAATAAGCACTTAAGGTAACGTGATTTGCCTAGAAATGTAATTTAAACTGCAGATGAAAAGTAACCCGTGCGTGTAAAATCACGCTCTTAGCAGACGAAAATAGACATTTTTTAATGCAGTCTTTTGTAAGACTGGAGTTTTCCTTCCAGTCGTAGAAATAAGCTTTTAGCTGGATCTCATTTGCAATTGCGCTGGAGCGTTACCGACGGAAACATTTTAAATCGAAGTCTTTCACTCCTGAAGTTTAACGTGTTTAAACACGATCCATTAGGCAATATCGAGCCAGACGCCAACACGATGGAAACGAAAGCTCGACTCGGAAAGCCAGGACAAGAGCTGGCGCAAAGATGGCATTTTATTTGAGTTGCGCGAAAACATTACGCTGAAAAAAACACCAAACAAACTCCCGGGGACCGGCCCTGAGACATTTCTACTTTCTGAGAACCTAACTTACATTATCCATGCACGTAAAACTCTTCTCAATAGACTAATCCGATTAGACGTCATAACTGCGGTGGCACCGCACTCACACGCACATTCTTCAGCTTGACGCGCGCGTGCAGTTGGCAAATCACGACACCCTATTGGTCGAAGAGGCATGTAACGCGCGCGTACCACCTGTCCACGAGCCTTGTGCCATCGCAGTAATGGCTCCTACTTCTGGTGGGCGCTATACGATCTTTGATATCAATAGTTTTAAAACTCGTAAGGTACATTGTTGGACAAAATAAGAAGCCTCCCGAGAACACACATGCCTCTTTGTTAGGACTTGGGTTTTCGAACAGAGTAAACGTTCCTGTATCCCATGGTTATAAAGCCAAAGAGTGATACCGGAACTGTTCCTCCTGACAAATTCACAGCCGCCTCCTAATCCACATTAACACTAAACAGACAAAAAAGCAATTCCTCCACTGCGTAACGTAATCCTTAAACTCTTTTATTTCTTATTTTGAAGAAAGGCTACGTTGTTAAACAAAAGTATAAAATATTGAAAACAGAGAAGGAATTCTAGTAAGATAATTTAAAAATCTCTCACGGAGTACCACTTCACTTGGGATGATAATAGCAATGCAGCAAGCTCCCTAAGTAAAATTAAACACTCCAACTGGATGCTTGACGTGTAAATCGTTTCTGGGAAATGGATAATAAAATCCCATCAAGCAAAGGGTGAAACAATATTATATAACAAAACTGGCCCACGCATTATGATCAGCAACAATGTTTTAAAACAAACACAACTACCCACAGATGATTATGTTTGCACACACTGTGGGATTTGCAGGCCATTTCTGTTCTGTGAAATTACCCTTCTCAGCTGGCAAGAATCACAACGTATTTATTTCTCACATGTAGGGATCTATAAAAGAAAGATTTGGTACATCTGTAACCCATCAAAACCAGAGAGCTTGCCAACAAAATGACAAACATTAATTTAGTGATGCACTGTGCACATTTTTCCTCAAAATAATACTTTAGCATATACTGTAAGTACCTAAACGTCTTGCTATTCCGAAAAATCAGACAATAAATTTGACAAACTTTAAAAAAAAAAAGGCAGCAGCTTGGGCAATTTTATTTGTGACATTTTTAGCCTCCATTTAGGCCAACATTACCCCTCTGAATGTCAGAGGTACTATATGGTACTGATATGTAGTGTGTTCCTGCACCAAATATCTTCAAGGCACAAGGGGTAAAGCTACAAAGATACTTCATTCTAGTTATATATATTCTATCTTCCCCAAGCGGGAGAAAGAGAGAGCGCAATTTTCCCAGATACGGGGGCTCCTTTGGTGGGAGCTGCACTTTGCTGGTTCGCGAACGAACCTGTGAAATGTCTGCACTGTGGTTGAATCGCTGCCAACCAAATTAATGAAGATTGTCCATTGATGTGGCTCTTTTCAACCGATAGGGTTGGGCACAGGGATGGAGTGGGGACGGGTACAGCTAGCTCTGCTGGTAGGGTGGATGTTGTTCCTATACACTTGTAGATTTTAATTGTAGATACGGGAGGGTTTCAACCAAAAAATGGCAGGAGAATTAAGGCGACCTTTTTAAGGATAACAGAATACATGATTAGACATTTCAACATGATTTCCTGTTACAATGACTAAGAACTACTTGTCTCTTACAGATAAATATCTATGCATTCACTTACAACAACATGTTATAAAAGTAATGCTAAAAAGACCACATTTAATGTGGAAGTGCTCACTCTGGAGGCATCCTCACAGAATCTCTATTTCAAACTCCAGGTCCGCATTCGGGGTTATCGTGGAGAGCACATTAAGGAAAAGTTCTAAACCTGTGTGCTCAGCAGTTCATCATAAATATCCCCAGAACATTCAAAACCCCAAAAAGGATGTTTTTGCAAGATTTTGAAGGATTGAGGATGCCAGAAATCACTATCAGGGATAATTTGGGGGGGGGGAATCGATATGGTTTAAAAGTGAAATCAAATTAGTTTGAAACAAGCAGAAGAATTTGTTTGCTTTGAAGTAAAAGTTCTTACAGAATTTTAAATTGGGGGGAGGGAGGTGGTCAGAAATAACATCAACGATCTCTAAAAGTTCAGGATTTTATGCAGAAAACTGTTCCAAAGAAACATAATGGTTGCAATGGAGATTTAAAGTCAACCTTCCAAGCCTACGGTAAGTCTGTGTAAGACTAACTTTGCCGAAGCCTGTTTTCTCTGTAAAGTCAAACCCCTTAGAGCTCATATTTTGAAAAGCATATCTCTACAATGGAATGGGCTATTGAGCACTGCCATATACCAAATGAAGCTATGCTTATCACTCATTTGTTTTCATTTGTGAAACATGATATACCTGTTTTTTCAGAGTGGTTCACAAAATGCTCAGCAAAAGCAGGCTACCTGGCAAAAGGAACAGAATTTCTATCACTTGTAACAGGACTCCTGATTAATGTAAATTTTAGCTAATGTCTTGCGATTGTTACTTACCTCTCACGGCTGTGATTAACATGTTTGATTCAATGAAAAAAAATATAGCGATCAAATGAGAAAAAGGATATCCCCACGCTGGAAAGCCCGATTTGCCGTAACCTTTATCTGAGCGTATCTTCAGCAGCGCTATCTCACCTTTGGACATGCTCAAGCAGCCTTCATCCCATCCTGGTGACAAAAGATCAGAGAGACAGGTCTCAATTCCATGACCTACATGCACTTCATGAAGTACATCTAGTATGAGTTTTCAGTGTGCTACACAACCACGGGGTGTCGCCATGGGGGGGGGGAGAGAAGCACTCACCACAGGCAAACTGATAAACCATTATTATAGAAGAAGGGGATCCCTTTCTCTTTTAATTTTGTGTTTTTTTTTTTGTCATGTCCTTCTAGAAGGCACCCCCGATGCCCATGCATCAGTGGCGTATCCGCGGAGGGGGGGGAGCTTGCCCCGACAGATATTTTTATCAAATATTAGCAATGTTTTAAAATCCTCACAAAACATCACCATGACATTACCGCAAGAATGTCGGGACCGTCAGTAAGGCTTTTGATATTTTTCTCTCCCCAAAACATCATTCACATTCCCTTTCGAATTTGTCCCCCTCCCCCGACACCAAAAGCTGGATATGCAGCTGCCATGCACATGTATGACAGAGCCTACCCACAGCAGCGGCTTGTTCTCATGCACGTTGTCTGACACAGAGCAAAAAGTGGACTACGCAAGACAGTTCTGCCTGCAAGGATAACATTTATGTCCAGTTCATTCCAGTTCATTATTTCCAGAAAGCGAGGCACGTGATGTCATGCCATTCAGTACATGTGAAGTGGTGTACAGCTACATTGATAGGGCTTATCTTGGGCAGGTCTGCACTCATGTTCCTGAATGGCCTGCAGTGCCCTTTATTCCGTGTTTGCCATTGCTATTATTTATTTTTTTCTGGTTTATTCAATTAAAATATAAGGGTAGGCAGCCACATCAGGGTCACTGATAAAACCCCATTTACATAAATCTAAAGGCATCACATATCAGTAGAAGGGAATATAAAATGATAAGAGTATGGAAAATGATTCATAATTTAAAAAAAAGTAAAAATGAATTATGCAAAATTAAAGTTACAAATCTATGTTCTCCAAACAGGGGGAAAAAACCAAAAAACATTGAAGATAGTTAATTCAGGACAATTGGTGAAATGACACAGTTCATTCAGGACAGTTGGTGAAATGACACAGTTCATTCAGGACAGTTGGTGAAATGACACAGTTCATTCAGAACAGATGGTGAAATGACACAGTTCATTCAGGACAGCAGGGCTTCATTTTAAAGGAGCGTGATCGCGCTCCTTAATGTTTTCCACGGAGAGCAAAAAAAAGCACTCCTTAAAAATTTAAGGAGTGCATGGTTTTTTCAAACCAGCAAATGTTGATTTATGACATGCCCTTTGAATCTCGTTAGGTCGACAGTAGCAAACAAGTCCAAAGATTGAATGTATTAAAAACAATTGCTGGTAATCAAAGCCTTTGAGTTGTGTGAGCGTGCTTGATGAATCCTGCATCGCAACACACAAACGTGATAGCGCATGTGGGCGGGCCTAGTGTGTGTGGGCGAGCCTATGGAATTCCATGGACGCACGTGGCCACGCCCGGCCAACCTCTCTCCCAGAACGGGTCGAGTTCAGGCGCTATGTTCTCGGCCGGCCGTTTGTGAACAGCAGAAGTGAGTTTGTGAAAAACCCTGTAGTGGCTGGAGATGGTGTGTGATCCTGTTGCGTGTTCGTTTGGTTCGAGCGTGAGAACAATGTTCACTTGTCGAGAACAGAAGGTATGCCACAGGAAAGAAAAAAGTCTCTGGCGGGTAATGTACCCGGTGTTCTATACGAAAACGCACTGGTCGAAGTAGTATTGTGAGCGCAGGAAGGGATGATGAATACAATCTGCAGAGGACGTGCAATATGTTTTAAAATACCAAAAAGAAAGGATGCACATGTGCAGTAAATTCAGAGCCCCTGTGGCGGCGAAATGGATTGCCGGGCGAGCGAGGAGACTAGTCAAGTTATGCACCCACGTCCACCAAACCAATATACGATGAAAGACTACATGACGGACCCACATGCACACCCGTGAAAATGCAGTAGATGCCGTGGATAGAGCGACATCAGAGGCGGATTTTCGATAAAATTTTCTGCAAATACATTAACTATGGACATGTTTACCGATTCATAACCATTGCGTTGACTGATTTTTGGCATAAGGAACATTTGGACAAAATTTCAGCAAGCTCCGTCAGGTGGGGGAAAAAAACAGTGGAAAAATGCAATCTGCGAATTTTCGCTATGGCCGGGACAAATGGTTTAACTGATTAAAGTTAACTTATTGAACTCAGTAAAAGAAGTTAAATTGTGTTAATTTTATTGAATATGTTTACATTAACTTGGTTTTTGTTAGCGAGAGCAAATCACTCCCCTTAATTCACTTTGTTGATTTAAAGACAGCAATTTTTAATCGCTCTTCTTAAATCAACAAAGTGAATTAAGGAGAGTGACTTTTAGCTCTCCTCGTATTTATTAAAATGAAGCCCTGGGACAGTTGGTGAAATGACAAAGTTTTCAAAGGATGAATTCCATCTTCAATGAAGAGGAAAAATAGAAAAAGATACGTATTTCAAATAAATCTGCTACCTTTGATCACTTTTCCCAAACCAACAGCGAAGGAAAATGGTTGTTGCCCGGGATCTTTCGTGCTGTTAAGATTTAAAAAGAGAAACCGACATTCAGCTCAATAGTACACTGATTTTTGTATAGATGTCCATGGAAAGCCAAAAATGCACTGTGTATGTAAAAGAAAGATTTTTTCGTTTCACAAAACGAAGTGTCAAAAGGGGTCGAATTGATTGAGTCTCAGACCAGTTTTTGGTTCAAAAAGAAAGAAAAGAGTTCAAGAAATCACTTCAATGCTCAATTTCTTATCTTTTGTCTGCACATTTCAAGAATCGGAGAGTATGCTTACCTCCAAAATTTCTTGGGCGGGTTGCCTGCCAGGGACCCCGTACAGTGGACAGTAATTGTCTCCCCTGCTTTGACCTTGGTTGGCCCTCCTTGCCGGATGATATCCTTGACAACTCCGTCGCTCACCATAATGTTTTTAAAGTCACCCATGATGCTTTTTGGAGTGCTGAAAGTTCAAGACAAACTGGTTCTGCTCATTTAAATATATATATATGATATATAGTGGTTTTGACAGTTGAAACCCTCTTTTTTAAAAAGGTTCCTGCAATGATGCGTTCAATGGTGCAGTAGGCACTGTTGATATCGTATTTTAGCCGATATCGATATATCCTTTTTTATATCAATATTATCGTTGTAGCAAATTTTATTTATTTTAAATTTCAAGGTATTATAACAGGCTTGAATTGCTGGTAAATTGTTGTAAGGGTACACCCCTACACTGTAATGATATGATCCAAATCACAGTCTCCGTGTTGTGATGTCTGATGTGCATCCCTGATAGGGTTTGTGCACAGGGTGCCAAGCAGCGTCCGTATCTGCAAGTGGTGTAGGCCTACATGGAATTCTTTCTATAACACGTCAGGATGGGGATTACTTGCCCCCTCCCCTGGGTCTATGCCTAGAGCGACCAACAGCGCAGCCGGCAGTGCGCGATCTTCTGATCGTGTAATCATGAAGGAACAGAGGGCCTACATGGACATGATGGAGTGCCCTCACAGAGACATGTTTTATATGACAATGAACTAATAGGGTCTACTTAAGCATACCAGTATCACACAGAACAAAGTCCTGTCCTCTGTGAGGGCGCTCCATGCAGGCTTCTGTGCATGCACTGTGGATCAGAGATTGAATTGAGCGTGTTGCGCCCACCAAAATCAAGCAAAAATTGCACAAATCCCGAGAATAATTTGTCATGCATTTACTTGGCGCACCAAAGAAAACAACTTTCATCAGTTCTTACCTACCAACGGTGTACAAAAAGAACAACGAAATGAGCCTACTGAAACTGATCCGGAACTTTCCAGACGTCGTCTCAACCGTACTGTGTACGTACCCGTATACGTGTACGTACGTGCGCGTACCATGTTGCCTCATGCCCACCGTGCATGCCCGGCTGGCTAACCAATTCCAAATTTCAGATTCAAAAGCAGCATTGGCTTTATATCTGGTTCGGTTTTCATCTGACATATGTAATTCAGAACTATGTTCGTAGACCTTCAATGGTTGGACTATCCATTACTTTAATTGAAAAAGTTTGATGTTCTCATAGCAAAACTCTACAACCCCCAAACCTCAGTCTCCAATGCCAGAGATCCAGTTTGAGCCACGGTCCCTGAACGGGTACAGTTCGAAGCCCAAGTTTAAGAAATAGCCGGTACCAAAGAATTAAGGGAATGCAACCTCGTCTCCAGCTACTTAGAGGGGGATTGTGTATTTGGGGACCCCAGTTTTTGGTAATTTAATTTTGTAAATCTGGCAAGCCCCTCCCCTCCCCCGGGTAATGCTCTCTTTATTTCACTGACATTATTTTTTGGAAATTTGGAATTATAAATTGTGAGAAAATGTGAATGTCTTACTGATAAACCATCCACGGAAAGTTGAATTCACCATTGTGTGTCTACCCTCAGAATTAGAACTGCACGGGGTGTGCGATGTCCACCCCGCTCCCATCCCGGCCCACGCACCATGTGTTGTGTTAAAACACTCACAGTTTCTCCTCATAATTTCCTCAAAACTCAAAACCCTGCCCTCTTTTCACATCAATCCTACATTTATTAAACATGATGTCATTATTTTAGCAAGATCCCCAAATATACAACCCCCTTATGGCAATTAACACGTTTCATTAGTATCTAAGTCTACACTTAGTTTACTCCTCCTGGGTATAACTTTTCGAAAAATATACCCAGGCGTTACGACCTTAACAGTATCGGCTTTTCGAAGCATTGCGTGGAAGGGTTCCTGACTACGAAACAACATAGAGCGGTAAAATCTGAAAAATTGAATTGCAGAAGCTTCCCTACTTCACGTTCACGAAAATGTAAAAAAATTCGACCATTTAATCGCAGACATGATGGAAGTGAATGACAAAAATGCATTCCAACTGTTGAATCCTTGGATATCGGAAGATCGAACTACGGCAGCTGTTTGTAGCGCCATTCGTCTGGCGGAGCAGAGCGGTCATTTAAAAACGGTAGGCCCAAGCCCTATCAGCAGATCAGCCCGATATATGCAAACGGTCCGATGTCCACCCATCCCCGCTCCCACCATCTGACCATAGAGCTAGGAACAGAACGTGGGAGCGGGGCAACAACAGTAGGCCCGAGATCGAGTCCAAAATTTGGTCCATGGACTCAACATGATGGAGACTGCATGCCATGGTTGAGTGCTTGATGAATATTGTGTTTGTATGCTTTGGAGACCATGACATTTATTATTTTTGCTGGCTTTCACTTCATCACAGTTGCAAAATTCAGTCGAAGTGTATATTTTGCCAATATCTGACATTATCCTGTTACACTTGTTTTTCAATAGCTTGCATGGACTGGAGTGAATTATTCAGTGCAATATTAAGTTCTATATAAGTTCTAAATTCACCCTTACTGCTTACTAATAATGCTTGATCATCAAGTGAACAAGCAGCCAAGTGGCCAGGTGTTCAGCTGAAGACTTTCAGGCCCAGGCTCAAGAGTTACTGATTGTTTTGTAGGTTTTTTCTACCCTAAACGTTGCAGGATTATCATGTTGTTGTTTTAAATGCATTCCTACAACACATTGCTGGATGCTTCATTTTATGTTCATGATTTGTGGCTGTGGAAAAGTTTTTAAGGAAAAATTCCAAATTCTGGCCTGAATTCCATCTTGCAAATAAAAATTCACAACCGATGTGAAGTTCGTTCCTCGTTTGACGTTCGACATTCAACGTTGAACAAA